ATCAAATATGCCCACATGGATAAACTTAGTCTCCCTCTACTTTAGAGAAGTAGAGGTAGGTTTCATTTTATGATGGTGTTATTGATAGAGGAAGTCAACTTCTCCTATGAAGCATGGAGTTGATTAAACACATAAATCTTTATTTAATTCATGTCAGCAATGTACATTAAAAACATCAACTAAACTGAATTAATGCTAATCATAGTTATGTTTATTATATAGCCTATTATTTTCTTAATCTAATCTAATGTACTATTTTTTATAAAATAGATATTTCTAAAATTTAATGAAAGTCATTTTCCTTCTGTAGTTAAATTTAATTGTGGTAAACATTGTTTTACACCAAATAATCAGTCTTGGGCATCATAGAAGCACAATAAGCATATATATGGTAACTATTGAAAATAGATGTTAGGAAACCAGCAGAAAATTCCTCCCTTAACATCTGAGGCTTCAGACCTCTTGTAGGATAATTTTCCCTTTCCATGCTGACAATGCCTTTAGCTATATTCAATTTCATCATCCCTTTGCCTTAACTTTAGTTACTTTCTATTTACTTGTAGAAAGAGACACAGCTGTACCTAAAACTTGGTTATGGCTTTTTCTCTACCTGTTTACCTATGTTTCCTCCACACTTGAATTGTTTTCCTGGCCATCAGAGTGTAACTCCCCATTCATACCTGTATAAAGTACTGTTAGGGAGTGAACTGTGTCCTCACCAAATACAGTGAAGAATAAAATCCCATGTGAACGTATTTAGAGGTGGGCTTTATAAGAGGCTAATTAAGGTTAAAAGAAGACCATGTGGTACAATCCTGGTCCAAGAGAATAGTGACCTTATAAAAAGGGGAAGAGACTTCAGGGGATAATAGTCATAGAAAAAAATGCCATGGATTGACACAAACGGAAAGTGGACATTTACAAGGCAAGAATTGAGACATCAGAAAAAAACCCTAAACCTGTTCAGTGGTGACTTTGAACTTCTAGATTACAGAATTGTGAAAATGTAAATTTATGCTGGCTAAGCCACCTACTCTACAGTCTTTCTTACAGCCATACCAGACTAATATAGGAGATGTATACTCTCAGATATGATCTGTGCAGTAATTTTTAATTGTCTTACTTCCTATAAACAAAGTATTAAAAATTAGATAGTCCCAGAGAGAAAATTATATTTATAATAGAAAGATAGAAAGAAATATATACATCTGTGTATATGTGTAAAGGAAAAATTATGAGACCATTTGTAGAAACCCACAGCTGGAGTTTCTACTTCTCTAATAATACACTGGGATCAAAAGCAACTTGAGGATGAAAAGATTTATTTCATTTTAACTCTTTTCATCTCTGAGGTAAGTTGGGGTAGGAACTCAAGGCAGGAACCAGAAGGCAGAAACTGAAGCAGAAGCATTGGAGCAACACTGCCTACTGAACTGAGGTCTATGGCTTTCTCAGACTGCTTTTGTATACACCTTAGGACCACCTGCCTAGGGGTATAGTCACCCTCAGTGGCTTAGACTCTCTCAGATCCATCATTTATCAAGAAAATGTCATACAAACTTCCTGTGGACAATCTAATGAAGACATTTCTCAATTGAGGTGGGGTTTTTGTTGGTTGGATAATGCTAGCTTGTGTCAAGTTGGAAATAAAACAAAGCAAGACATAACTCCATATCTGTCTTATTTATTGTGTGTTAATAAGTGAAAAAGGATTAATTCATGTATTTTATAACACAATTTCTGTCTAATTTATTGTGTTATAATACATTTATTGGAACAGGATTTTCTAGTTTCTCCTTTTAGAGAATCTTCTATATTGCTTTTTTTTGTGTGTGTTTTATCTAGTGAGAAATTGCTTAAGAAACCACAACAAATCCTGGGCCTTTGTGCCAGAACTACCTGAGTACTTAACTACTAACTCCCTGGCAGGCAACATTCACCTGATTCTCATTTTGCATAGGTGGGGTTAGGACTCAGAAAAGGTGCTATAGCACAAATGCAAAATCAATTCGTCAGGGGAGCAGTTAGCTCAACCCTTGAAACATTTGCCAGGGCTTTTGGTCACCTCCTTTTTCTGAACATTTACTTCATTGGGAGGCTGAGCAATGAACCAGAGAATGCTTATTTGGTGTCTGAGAAGAGTGCAGGTCACAGCTCAACCAAGTGTGAAGAGTAGTTGAGATGTTTGTGTTCTACCTGAGAGCACAGACCACAAAGTCAAAGTCAGAGAGCATGACAGAGTCTCAAAGTGCTCCATACACAATGAAGTTGATACCTATATGAGCAAACTGCCTTAGATCTTATTCAGACAAGTAATTAACAAGGTGTTTATTTGTATATATTGGAGATCTATATATAGGTGATAGAAAAATAGATCCTAATACTATTTACAAAAAATAGAGCAAGCAAAAAAATGACATTGGAGGTAAAGATGCATATCTGGTCTAAGTCAAGGTGATCTAGAGAAGTACAAAACCTAAAAAAATAAGTAGAAGGAATATTTGATCCATGTGAGCAGGCAGGGACAGGTAGGACAAGCAACAGAGCTAAGCAGACAGTATATTCATAGGTGTGCCTGCATGTATGTGTATCTGTGTATTCACATGAATGAGTCAAACTAGAAAAGGAGAGTTAGTATCTCACTTTTTGTCTGTTGATATGATGAAATAATCTGACGAAAGCAACCTAGGGGAAAAAAGGTTGGCTTACAATTCACAAAAGTGAGAAAGTCAAGACAGTCTGAGCTCAGCTCCCACATCACAATCATAATCAGGAGACAAGGGCGGTGAATGCTCCTGCTCTTAGCCTGCTTTCTTTATTTATACAGTCCACGATCCCAGGCAGAGAAAGGTGCCACCAAGAGTAGGTGGGGCTTCTACTTTGAATAGTAAATCAAGAAATTATTCTATAGACTTATCTCTCAGGTTATTTTATATCTGTCTAGTTAACAATTAACACTAACCATCACACCTATTGTATGAGTTAAATGCTTCATGGTACATAAATCAACATGTCAGTTGATATGTCTGAGACTAGAGAGGATAGATAAGAGCATATGCTATATAAAAATAAAAAACCTATTGCAAAGATTGCAATAACCAAAAAGCACACTACTATAACATATGAAAGGCATGTTTGTTATTTAAAAAAAGTTGTTCTTTGTAATAAAGAAGTATATACAGGGCCCTCCAACTTGAGAATACTGCATTTTATTTGTTCTTAGAAACAAGTTTATGAAACATTAAAATTGTATGTGAATAGAGACCCCAGGGACAGTAAGCCAACCATACTTGGCACTGTTTGTAGTCATTAAAACAATCCTCTGAAGTTTGATGGTTTATGGGCAATTGACTTCTCACAGATTTGGCTTAATTTTCAGTAGGGGACACCTCGCACTTAATCTTCCATTTTATTCAAGATAAATGGGAAGGAATTAGTAGACATTTTGCTGAGCTTGTTCCAAGGTAAAAAATAAAATGTGATTTACACAGTCATTTAATGGAAGTTGTTCCAATGTCATTCATTTGATCTTCATAGAAAATTATTTTAATTTAGGTTGAAACAGTGATTGTTACTACTGTATGCTTTAATTATGTACTAACAAATTACATTTAGGTAAT